CTGGGAAGATGATGGATGCTGAAAGGCAGAGGAGCGCAGCATAGCAGGCGACAGTGATGGGGAAGTTGGACCAGGACACTGGCACCCGGGCCTGGAGGCCGAACAACTCTACCAGCAGGACCAGCAGAGTGCAAGCGAAGCTGAACGCCCAGCAGAAGATGCACCAGTCAGCCATGACTGTGATGGGCAGATAAGCTCCATGTGCAGCGGCGCTGAATGCCACACAGGTGAATAACAGGGCAGCTACTCGCATCCTGAACAACTGGGAAGTAGGGACCACAATCAATGGCATGATGGGATGTTACAGTCTGTCAGGAGGTGAAAGTGACTTTAATAGTCCTGCAAGTTTCAAGACGAGTCTTGTACTGAATGTCGGATCCTGCTTCTCCTCTACTTAGTGGGCATTTGTCTCATAATCTGCAGGAAGAAGACAAAGATAATCAGAATAAAATGAAGCAAAGATGTGTTAATATGCAGTTAAGGAATAACTGTACAGTACGTCTGTGGAAAACAAAATTATTTTAGACATTTTAAATTTTTTTGAATTTTTAAAAAATTATATTTAAAATTATTTTAGTATTATTTATTTATTTGTATTTTTATTTTATTATCCTTTTTATTATGTACAGTCCATAAAAACAGTAGCTGAGTTTTCCAAAGTCTAACCTTTAAGTTTAGTCTTATTTCTTGCTAAAATCACATGCCATGCTTAGTATTTCTCATAATCAGTTAATAGTTTTCAAGCACTGCTTGAAACACTTTATTCATGATGAATAAGCTAATGTAAAACACTTTTTGTTAATTATGTTTTCATGTTCTACAACTCATTGATTAATCATTTATAAACGCTACTCTGCATCAGTTACAAACCAGTCATTTCAGGATGCTCAATGCTATACAAAATAACTGGTAAAAGGTAAGTAGATGGTTAGTAGTCCTATATAATACTATAAACTCTACATGTACTACACATAGTAGTTTCATACTAGATGTTTTATAAACACTGAATATCAGGGTTTCATCACTCATATATATCTTAACAGATGTCTTACAATATATTTATAACTGTCACTTAAAGGCTGCCAAAGCTGTAACTCACTATCGACCAACTTCTTTTTTGATAGATTATCTAAAATGCTCATAAATACCTTAATAAACTTATTTAGGAAGTTACAAACCATTTACTACTTGTTAGTAAAGTATCTTGAGTGAGCCCATCTAAAGTGGGGACCATATATACCGTACAACCTATTTATAGATGTGAAAGATTTTAAAGTACATTGTAACAAAAAATAAATGACAACACACAGGGTAGATCCAGAACGCAATGTATTTTTAAGATGCCAATCACAAAAACATGAGAACAACGCTTACAGATTGGACACACAAATTTTGATACAAAAATAAAAAGTGTCATAAACTATCAGCCAATACAGAACACGGCTGGATGCAAACTATATGACTTGTAGCTCTTTACATAAAGTGTATCGCATGTATGATCATTAAAATTAAACTACAAAATTTATAAAATAATGAAGTAACATTCAAACCAAAATCAGCAGCAGACATGGTGCCTCCTCTTTTGAACAGCCTCAAAATCTTGTTATACCAGTTGACCACTTGCTTCGGATTCTGGACTGCATTTGAGAGAGCATAATCATTAATGTAATAGTGTGGTAATGAAACACACCACATGCAAAATCAAACTGTTAAGTTAATCACTTGACTTCTTGTTCTTGGTTTTTGGTCATGTTTCTTTGACTTCTTGTGTTTTTTTGCTTTGCCCTTCATCCTCTTCTTCCTGTCTTTATCTGATGAAGTTGTGCTTATGGAGGAGTCAGAACTCTCATCAAAAGACCCATCAGAGGACAGTGAAGATATGCACACTTAAAATCAATCCTTTGATTTTTCTGAAAATCGACAGTGCC